TTAGCATATGCTTAAATCCTATTTTGTTTGGTTGGTGAATTTAGAACCACTTGTCTTAGCCAAACAAAATATTCTCCATTAAAGATTGGATTGAAAATATTAATACCAATACCAAACTTTTTATGCGGGTAATAGTACAACAATATACATACAGGCACGCTTGCACTCCCACGTACAAATTAAATGCTTTCAATGCAATTATATTTAAAGCCTTCTAAAAAATATTGATTCTACTATTTAATTCTGTAATTACCAACAATTAACCACTAAGGATTCTAAATGAGCTACTTTAACCCCTTCCATTATCATTAGCGAAATAAAATATTTTAGAATGATAATTTATAAAATAAATTCTAATTAAGTTTAGAACTAATGATAATTTATAAAATAAATTCTAAATGACGTATTTTGAGTTTTTAATAATTTTCCAAAAAAAATGTTATTGTATATTTTAACAAGCACGGAGATAAAATTGCGATAAAATTAATATTATTTTATCAAAATATTATCCACAACCAAATTATATTTTTTAAATTTCATAATTATTTCAACAATCCACAAAACAATGACAAAATTAATAATAAATTTTCAATAAAATAGTGACAAATAATTTTATCGATAAAAGAAAATAAATTTTTTGAAAAGAAATTTTTTGTTCAACAAAAAAAAAATGTTAGTTTTTTTTGTCAATAATACCAAATTACCGATAAAATTAAGAAAATACTGACAAAAAAAAAATTTTTCTTGTAGTGCAATTTAGATAGCATATGCTCTGATATGCCCAAATTAAGAAAAATACTGAAACTTTTTTTTTCTTCACCGTAAAAAATTTCATTTTTTGTGTAATGATTTATTACATTATTGTATAAAGGATAAGCTCAAAGGATAATTTGTAAGGATAAGCTCAAAGGATCCTACTTTTGTCCTTTTTGCTAAACACGAGATTAACATCATGATTAAATTAAGATTATGATAAAATTAAAATGATAATTACCTTTTCCACACGCACACTATATAATTAAAATGATAAAATTAATTTTAAAATTTAAGTCGTTGAAATCGGCCAGAAATTTTGAGATCAAAGAACCGACTACTATTATCCATTCAGTAGACGGTTGGAAGGCAATATTAATTCCTAATAAAAAAAATCCTCAACCTATCTAAATTCAACTCACCAACCTAAATATGATAACGTAAAATAAATATTTTATTTATAAAAGAAAAAAATAAAAATATTTTTAAAAATGTGGAAAGGTGGGTCCCAAAAACAAAGCCTCAACCCGAATGCACATCATCAAGATGCCGCCCACGTTCTCGTTTTACTGGAAATTGTATAAATCCTATTCCCAGTGAGCGCCTGCCTTTCGGGCAGGGCAACCGAACGTGTGCGAAGCGAAGCTATCTTTATAAGTCGTAGTTGTAGATAAAATTTTATTTGGGCCCCACACCTCGTAATCTGCCACGTGTCTGATCGAGTGGGTCCTCCAAAATTAGGGCAATACGGCGTTGCAATAGCTATCCACACGGGATTGGATAGTGGATTGGATTTGGATTTGCGTTTTGGACCTTCCCGCCCTCCTCTCCTTGTGAAATTTAAACACTTTCCAGAAAAGAACATTCATCCCTACCTTGCCACGTGGACATTAAGATGAGTTTTCCCTACCGTTATATTTGAAATTTTTTTTAAAAAAAGACAAAAATTATAAAGGGAAAACGAAAAGCAAATGCCCCAAGACTTTGGGAGATTTTTTTTTTTAATTCAACTTCAAATTCAAAATCAGACTACTAATATTTTCAGAAAATGACACGTTTTAGAGGAAACATGAATTTATTTAAAAATCATATATATTTAGTCTGTAAATCATAAAAAATTACTTTAATTATTTTAATTTTTTATAAATACAATTTACTGAAAATCGCGAAATTGTACTAGCAACGGATAATTTTTCTAATAATATATTATCAACTTGAGTTTGCATAAATCGTTACTCTAGCAATTAAGACGAGAATGAATTTAATTAATATGTATTTATTAATACAGTTTAGTAAAATATTTGTATAGAGTTAAATTAATATCTTAACATGAGATTGATAATATTATATAAAAATTAAAATTTAATATTTTTGAGATTAGTTGTGAAGATATCGAATAATTGTCCTTAACATTATTTCATGCCGTTTCTCCAAAACTAATAATCTCATTCACCATGGATTTTATTATAATAAATCAACATGTTGACAAGTTACAAAGGTGCCACTCACACCGAGGAGGACAACTATCAATTGTGAGATTAAAATTTTAATATTCATTTCTGGATATATTCACCTACATTGTTATGTAAAAAATGCAACTTACATTTTTAATTAATTTAATATAATTTTTAATAACTAAACCAAAATTTAATTTAATTAATAATAAATTTTTGATATAATAAATAACACCAAACTTGAATTCTGCTTAGTTTCATTCAGTTTAATCGGTAGAATTTATATGTTTTAACTTTTTTATATTTCAAGAATAATGTTATATGTAATAGATCAAAAATTACCATGATTTCTGCTTTTTTTTTAAATTAATTTTTAAACAATTTGGTGTATAAATAAATCAAAATACTAGAAAGTCATTATTTATGAAAAAAAACTCCCTAACCAATATAGCAAGTGGAAATAATGTTGTTGAAGTGGGGCCGCGCAAATCATATACTTTGCACCGTTGGAACCCACGAGCTTGCAGTGTTTACGTGGCAATCAATGAGCGGTGTCAAATATAGGAGCCGTAGATACGCGTATCAGCCAAGTCATATGGTCAAAAACAGACACGTCCGTGACTTCGCCTTTTAGACCACGGTTTCTATTTTTATTTTTACTTTTATTTCATTTTATTTTTGGCCTTTTGTAACGACTTGGAAGCCCACGTGGCGACTCAGATTTTAGCAAGAGTCATCATCAGATTAACAAAAATGGTAACTTGCAAAATGTGGCTAATAACACTACGGATGAGACTTGCATTTCCGTATACGGTATATCCACCAACCAATTCACCAAAACTGTCAATAATTTTATCCTTTTTTTATTATAAATAAATATTTTTATTTCAACTAAAAAATTAATTTTGATTGATTCTAACATGTGAATAAATCGAATGCAAATAAGTTTTCTTTTTGATATTTTTTAAATATTATTTCTGAGATTTAATCATAGAAGTACTATTATTTTTTATTTTCAAATTAATTAATTTTTAATTTTTTTCAAATTTATTAATAATTTAATCTATTATATTCTTAAAAAAAAAAGAATCAATGGATTTTACACTTTTTTTTTTTTCGAGACAAACTCTTTTTGGACAATAGAATATAAAGAAACTTGGAATTTCTTATAAGTATGCTTCCCTCAAAATTATACTACTTGCATTCTCGTCTTTTAATAATAAGAAACTTGGAAGTTTTTATAAATATGCTTCCCTCAAAATTATACTACTGGCAATCTCGTTTTAATAATATTATATATATATATAAATATATTGTTAAATTTTATGAATTTTTATTTTTTTTTCGTTTAGGTAAATTTGGAAGATCAAAATAATGTAACATTAAATTTAATTTTATTATTTTAACTTTATCTTTATATCCAAATATCCTATATTAAATTTTTTTAAATTATTGTTAAATTTTATGATTTTTATTTTTTTTCGTTTAGGTGAAATTTGGAAGATCAAAATATGTAACATTAATTTATTTTATTTTAACTTTACTTTTATCCAAATATCTATATTAAATTTTTTTAATTAAAAGAATATTAATTAAAAAGATAATTTAATCATGATTCAATATTTTTTTATTTTTTGTGAAAGTTAAAACCTATCAAATATAATGTACGGATGGAATAAAATTTAATACTCGATATTAACATTTTAGGTATAGTAAAATAATTCTGGCCACGTTTTAATATACTTAATATTTTAAATTAAAATGAATATTAATTTTAAAATATTATACACATATAAACAGTAAAATTTTAATTATTAATTAATATGTTGAAGTTAACTTTTATTTATTTTTATTAAGAACAAAATATCTTAATTAATTTAATTGGAAACACCAATAATAGTTGAAAAAATAAAATAAAAAATATGTATAGACGTGCCAAGAGTTGATTGGAAGGCAGTATCTATCTAATTGCTCCGCGCTGAGGAGGACTTAACAGTTAGCAATAAACCAGTTACAGCTGTAAAGGAACCTATACACGAGTCGCTAATTTTTTCTTTTTAAAGCTTTTTTTTTTTTTTTTGTAACAGAAAATCTTTTTAATTACAGCTGCGATCTCCTTGCAAAATTAGCCGTCATAATTTCAAAGATCACCGTATCCCAATTTAAGGGCTTCATTAGGAAGTGATTAAAAAAGCTTTATCCATGACACTTAGGGTCCTGAATTGATTAAAAAAAGGATTAATATTAATAACAAGATCATTCTTGAAATTAAAATGATATTTTATCCCGTGCATTAAGAGTTATATATTCAATTTTTACATATAAGAATAATGCATTATGTTTAGAGCATTTTATTTAGGATTTTAACAAAAATATTTAAGAATAATTTTAATATTAAATTAAAAGTACTATAACATAAAAATTAAATATTTCATGTTTTTAGACTTTATATTATTATATTATGTGTTAATCAATAAATTCAATCCTTATAAAAAAAAAAAAAAAAAAGAAAACTATTAAATTCAGTTATGTTACACGCACATATACATATATATGCTTGTCATTAAATTGCCCTAGTCAATTCGAATATATGGGCAAAATTGGTATGTAACCAATTACCAGAACAAACGAACCGGCTAAACCAGTGAGTTGGAGTCAGCAACTAAATAATCCTGTACTAGTAAACTCTATCAATAACAATGCGGACAATCCAAATTGAAACGGAATCTAAACCGTCCAATTAATCTATATTAAGTAACCCGTATGGCCATATATAAATGCTTTCTTTTTAGTCGGTCTCTCTTCCACACTTCTTGAGTTCTCTTTCGTTCTTATCCTTCTTTCTTCTTTCCTTACACAAAACTTTCTCTGTTATGGAAGTTTTATCAGTTCTTTTGATTCTCATTAATCACCTACATCTTTTTTCTCTCTATAAAAGCCTTCTCTATCCCTCAGCACGACCCCATTAACCCTAATAGCCTCTTTTCTCGAAAACATATTCTTTTCTTGATTTTCTCGTTTCTTGTTCAATATAGTGTCAAAATCTTGCATGGAATGTTTCAATTTGATCTCCGTTGATGATTTCAGTGTTTGCAATCGTATCCCTCGTGTCATGAAGGTGCCTGGAATAATCTCAGATATAGAAGAAAGCAGCGACGGCGAAACGATGTCATCTCTCCCTAATGAACGTCGTATCATCGTTGCAAACCAGCTTCCAATACGATCATATAAAGATGAAGAAACGAATAAGTGGTGTTTTGAGCTGGATAAGGACAGTCTTTACTTGCAGTTAAAAGATGGGTTCCCTTCTGATACAGGAGTTATCTATATAGGGACATTAAAGGCTGAAATTGAAAATAAAGATCAAGAATCGGTTTCTCAATTTTTATTTGAGAAATTTGGTTGTCTGCCTGTTTTCTTGAATCCTGATTTGCAATATAAGTTCTACCATGGGTTTTGCAAGCACTATTTATGGCCTCTGTTTCATTACATGTTGCCTATATCATCTAGTGATGGTGCTCGGTATGATAGATCACAATGGCTAGCTTATGTGTCTGCAAATAAGTTATTTGCAGACGCAATTATGCAAGTTTTAAACCCAGATGAGGATTCAGTATGGGTGCATGACTATCATCTTATGGTGTTGCCTACTTTGTTGAGAAGGAGGTTTCATAGAGTAAAATTGGGGTTTTTCTTACATAGTACTTTTCCATCTTCAGAAATTTTTAGGACCATACCAGTGAGGGAAGAAATTCTAAAAGGGTTCCTAAATTGTGATCTTGTTGGATTTCATACTTTTGATTATGCACGACATTTCTTGTCTTGTTGTAGTAGATTGTTGGGCCTTAATTATGAGTCTAAAAGAGGGTATCTTGGGTTGGACTATTTTGGCAGAACTGTTAGTATTAAGATTTTGCCTGCTGGGATTCATATGGGGCAACTTGAATCTATTTTGAATATGGAGGAAACAGCTAAATTGGCTAAAGAATTGAAGGAGAAATTTAAAGGGAGGATTGTGATGGTAAGTGCTGATGATTTAGATATATTTAAAGGTATTAGTTTAAAGTTTTTAGCAATTTGGAGGTTATTAGAAGAACACAAGTACTTAAGAGGGAAACTAGTACTTGTCCAAATTGCTAATCCTGCAAGGAGTCAAGGGAAAGATATTCAAGAAGTACAAAATGAGGTGAATTTTCTTGTTAAACATATAAATTTGATGTATGGCGAGGTAGATTATGAGCCCATTGTGTTTATTAATCGCCCGGTTAGTACTCAAGAGAAGGCAGCTTATTATGCAATATCAGATTGTTGTGTGGTTAATGCAGTTAGAGATGGGATGAATTTGGTTTCTTATAAGTATACTGTTTGTAGACAGGGGAGCTCTGTTTTAGACAGGGCATTAGGGATTGATGAGAAGTCTAATCCAAGAAAGAGTGTTTTAATAGTCTCTGAATTCATTGGTTGTTCACCTTCTCTTAGCGGAGCGATTCGTGTAAATCCTTGGAATATTGATGATGTTGCTCAATCAATACTTGGGGCTATCAAAATGAGTGAGGAGGAGAAGCATTTGAGACATGAAAAACATTACAAGTATATTAGCTCTCATGATGTTGCTTATTGGGCAAAAAGTTTCGATCAAGATCTTGAAAGAGCTTGTAGAGAACATTATTCGAAGAGGTATTGGGGTGTTGGGTTAGGTTTAGGATTTAGAATTGTTGCTTTGGGACCAAACTTTAGGAAGCTTGCTGTGGAACCAATTGTCAATGCTTATAATAAAACAACTAGTCGTTTGATCCTTTTAGACTATGATGGTACTATGATGGCACAGAGTTCTATGGACAAAACTCCTAGTGGTGAAGTTATTTCAGTCTTGAATTTGTTGTGCAGAGATCCCAAGAACGTTGTTTTTCTTGTAAGTGGAAGAGGAAAGGATCCTTTAAGCAAATGGTTCTCTCCATGTGAGAAATTGGGTATTTCTGCTGAGCATGGTTTTTTTACTAGGTAATTATTTTTTTGCTTTATTCATTTTCTAATTATGTAATTTTACTTTTTTTAATGGGTTTGGTTAATAGTATAATGTTCTTTATTTTATTGTTTTTCAGGTGGTCAAAGGATTCTCCATGGGAGACTTGCTCGGTGGCTATAGATAATGAGTGGAAAAAGATTGTTGAACCAGTAATGCAGCTTTATACTGAGTCCACTGATGGTTCTTTTATAGAGCAGAAAGAAAGTGCATTGGTGTGGCACCATGGTGAAGCTGATTCTCATTTTGGCTCAAGCCAAGCTAAAGAGCTTCTTGATCATTTAGAGTCTGTTCTTGCTAACGAGCCTGTTGTTGTTAAAAGAGGGCAACACATTGTTGAAGTGAAACCACAGGTATTGATTCACTTGCAGCTGCGGTTGTCCCAGTTCTTTTTTAGTCTGTCGTGCATTAACCTTGGACACTGCTTCTTGAAAAAATTTTTACATTTTAGATCATTTTTTATGCTAGTGCCAAAAAAAGTTTTATCTATTATGGAGTTCTTATATGGCTAAAATGTGTGAAATTTGCCTTCAAAAACACTTCTTCTGATGTTATTGCAAAGAACAGTTTGAAGCAACATTTTATCTAATTAGCATTTACGAATATCCAAAAACAACCTTTTAAGATGTTACTGCAAGTTTATCTATTTTAGAGTTCTATGACAAAAATATGTGAATTTTAGCTTTTCAATGTTATTGCGAAAATGAAGCAAAGGAAAACAGTTTGAAATTACTGTTTAGCTAATCTGCATAGATGATCTGTCAGACTCAGCCTGCAGTAAGGCGAGCAAAAAAGAAAAAGAAAAAGAATAGTTAGTTATGATCCTTGAATTGTATATGAAATAAAAATTTTGTTCCTTTTGGGTTTAAATTTCAGGGTGTAAGTAAAGGTACAGTTGTGGAAAAGTTGATCTCAAGCATGAGAAGTAGGGGCAAGTCGCCGGAGTTTCTGTTGTGTATTGGAGATGATCGATCCGATGAAGATATGTTTGAAAGCATTGCAAGTCATGTAGAGAATCCATCTTTGCCAGCTATAGCAGAAGTGTTTGCTTGCACAGTTGGTCAAAAACCAAGTATGGCAAAATACTATCTTGATGATACCTCAGATGTTATTAAACTGCTTCAAGGCCTTGCTGCTGCTGCCTCAGGACCTAAAAATAATACTGAGGATGTTTAATAATATTGGTTTATAGTTTTTTGTTTCTCTTTTTTAATAGTGATGTGGATAGACATGTACAGAGCAATAGATAGTTTTTGTTTAATTTCACAATTACAGTTCTAAATGGAACTCTAATACCAAATTATCAACAGATCCATATTTTTCCCAAATTTTGGGATGAAATTTCTTATGTCAGTACAGATTTTATATTTTTTCTGCTTGAATCAAATAAACCAGTTATAGATTTCAATTGTAATTGTCAATGCTGGATGTACACTGATAACATTCTTTTGAGCCTTTTTTTTATAATAAAAGAATTTGAATTTTTGAACTTTTATTAGTATATTATTCGTTCGAATTTTGAATTCCGTTTGATGGGTCATAATGGGATAACATAGCGTTATTAGATGTATATTTAATACAAACATTACACCACAATGTATATTTAATACAAACATTACACCACAAACCTAATTCCATGAGTTGTTTAAGCAACAAAGACCTTTTAGTTTCTTACATTAAGATTAAAATTTTAAAGGCAAATATTTCAAACGTAAAATTCAAGGAATAGGTAATGTGTATTACTTGGTTATAACTCGACAAAATCAAATGTTACAAACTATTCGAATTCAAAATCTCTGATTAAGAAAGAAGAGATTTCTGTCGTCCAATCTCACTGGTCACGAAAGCGAAGATAAGATTCAGCTTTGACGACATCCGCACATATTTATGCTGTGGGACAAATCCTAAGCGGACGTGATTGTTAGAAAACAAAACCTGAAGACAATAATAGTCCAACTGGACTGAGGCCAGTGTTGTGAATTGAGGTGGTCAAGCAACACCAGCTCTTCATAATGGGCCTGGATCAAAGTAAAGTCCAATTTACCAACTTGGGTTTCTCTTTTTCTCTCTTGGGATTTGGGGCTTGAGTTTCTCCATATTATCATTATTTAGTTTATCTATCAATAAAAATTGATTATTTGAGTTGTAAATTCTAATTTCGATAAATAAAAAAATAGAAAACTTGCAGTAGACCATTTTTTTACCAGACCAAATTGGAAAATGAAAAAAAAAAACTTATAGAAACAATTAGATTTCACCAACTTCCAGTCAAAAAAAAAAAAAAAAAAAAAAAAAAAAAAAACAAAATCACCAACTTAATTTTGGAATTTTAAGTTACAAGTTGGAAATATTTATGGTTCATCCTCCATTGAAGAAAAATAAAAAGCCAATAATGTGTAGGCATGTATTATATGTGTATCTATTTGTAATTTTTCCAATGTGAAACACGTCTTTATCTCATAAAAAAAAAAAAAAAAAAAATCACCAACTTAATTTGAATTTTAAGTTACAAGTGAAATATTTATGGTTCTCCTCCATTGAAGAAAAATAAAAAGCCAATAATGTGTAGGCATTATTATATGTATCTATTTGTATTTTTCCAAATGTGAACACGTCTTTTCTCATTTCTCAACCAATAAATCTTTTGCATAAAAAAAAAATATATTAAACAGAAAGCAAAGTGACAATGTTCCTTTTATTATTACTTAATTAATCCCACTACAGTGACAACTTCCACCAACAAATGTTTTAAGCTTTTTTATTTTGATTTGTGTATTTGATTAATAAATAAATAAAATAAAATAAATCTGTCCTCTTTTGAAGTCAAAAACTATGTTGACCAATACAGATTTGTTGGGTTTCATCTTCAGCACATACTCCTCTCTCATACAAAAATCTCAATCTTCATTCCCAATTGACAAAAATCTCGAAGTCCATCTCTCAGTTTTCGCTGTAACCGAACTCAGATTGTTTAGAAGTTTTTCTGGTGCATTATGGTCTCAAAAAGATCTGATCTTTAGCTTTTAAACCTTCTTCTGGGTAATGGAGTTGAAGAAGGAAAAGCTTGTAAAGTAAGTCTTTTTCATTTTACTTTTTACTTTCTTGCTACTTCTTGATTGTATCTGTTCTTGGTTTAGCATCTCTGTTAATTTATATGCTTGCTCGTAGACTAAATTTCTGCTTTATTGGAGGCTAGTGCATGTAGGTTTTGCTCTCTTAGTTGTTTGGGGAAAGAATTGGCATCAATTAGACGTTTCTTACAAAGAGACTAAGGCTCAATTATCTGTTTTTTTTATTGGTTAATTTTTGGAAAATTGAGGGATAAGTTTTGGATTTTCTGCATGAGATATTATCTGGTGGGCTTCTTTTATTTTAAATTACTGTTTATTGTTATTGGTTACTTTTAGAATTTAATGTTTGTTTCCTGAGAAATGTTGTTGAACTTACTTTCAATCAAATAGAAGGCTAAGCTTTCACATGTTAAATGGTTAATTAATTATTAAAAGTTTAACTATTTATGACCTTTCACTTAGGTTTGTGAAAGAATATCCCTTATGAAGTTTATTTTTGACAAAAAAAAAACAAAAACAAAAAAAAGCAAAAATTATGGGTGTCTAGAACTTTGGAATTCTGTGCTAAATCAGTTGGCTTGATAATCTGTAGGTTTTACCCTGATGGAAAACAATATAGAGAAACATCACGGGGAAAAACTGAACAAGTATATCCAGAGATGTCGTCTTCCATGGATAAGGTTTCAACTTCATTGCTAAAAGCAGACAATGGGATGATGGGTGGTAGAAATAGACTGACAGATACTAGCAAAGGTGGGAGGTCCAAGGTTTTCCCAGCGGACCGCCAACCATGGCATCATAGGATACTCGACCCAGGAAGTGATATTGTGCTGCTATGGAACAGGATTTTCCTTGTCTCATGCTTGCTGGCACTTTTTGTTGATCCATTGTATTTTTACTTACCTACTGTTGGAAGGGATGAAAATTCTTCATGTGTGAATAGTGACTTAAAGTTGAGGATAGTTGTTACAATCTTTCGGACATTTGCAGATCTTTTTTATTTGTTGCACATGGTTATAAAGTTTAGGACTGCTTATGTTGCTCCAGACACTCGTGTGTTTGGGAGGGGAGAACTTGTCATGGATCCAAAGAAGATTGCATGGAGATATATTAGATCTGATTTCTTCATTGATCTCATTGCCACTTTGCCACTGCCTCAGGTAATTTGTTTATCACCATCATTTTTGAAATTAGTTTGTGCCTGCTTCTTATAGTAGTATTTTGTTAATTCAATTTGTTTGATGGACAAAGTAGAATATATAATGAACTTGGAGTTGTAGGCTATCTCTAACAACGATAGCTTCCATTGATTTCTCTATGTAGCTTCCATTTATGTTAACTTCAATTGATTTCATAGAGTTTGGTCTTTAGGTAGCTACTTAAGATAGATGGAATAGATATTATGAGGGAAAAAGGTAAAAAATAAAAAAGTAACATTCTCCTGAATCATTTACCATCTACGAGTCCTATATATTGCTGGGTTTGATAATTGAGGAATAATTTTACTTTGGTTTGTCGATCTATTATTTTTCTGTGGAATATTGATACTTCTTCTGGAGTCAATTATGGTTTTTCCAAGCAAAAACTGAAATTTCAATTAATTGATTTTTTGTGCAGATGGTTGTATGGTTTGTCATACCAGCAACAAGAGGTCGTCAAACTGATCATAAGAACAATGCTCTTGCATTAATTGTTCTACTACAATATATTCCCAGATTATATCTGATTTTTCCTTTGAGTTCTGAAATCATTAAAGCAACTGGAGTAGTCACGAGGACAGCTTGGGCTGGAGCTGTATATAATTTGATGCTATACATGTTGGCAAGCCATGTAAGTTTGCATTTTTTTTTCTCTTAGTTGAATTCCCATTGCTTAGCCACTTGGTCTTTCCATCGTCATGAATTCCATTTTTTCCTCTTAATTATAGGTTTTAGGAGCTGCATGGTATTTAATATCAGTTGACAGGTATAAATCATGCTGGAAATCAAATTGTAGAAATGAAACTGGCCCTATTGGATGTGTCCTCAGTTATCTGGACTGTGATACCTTAAACCATAGCGATCGCAAGGCATGGGCAAATAGTACAAGTGTTTTCAAGAACTGTGATCCAAACAATAGTATCACTTTCCAATTTGGTATATTTGAAAATGCAGTGACGAAAAATGTTGTCTCCTCTAATTTTGTTGAGAAGTACCTCTACTGCTTGTGGTGGGGCTTACAGCAACTAAGGTATCTTCATTGTTTCCATGCATCAGAATTCAGAATAAGCTTTGCAGTTCAATTTCCATACTTTCATTTTCATGATGATTGGTTTCTCTATGTTTTAAACTATGCAAAAAACTCGAAAAGCTTTTGAATTCTGTATTTTTCGTGTCACTGAGCCCTAAAATTTTTCCATTTGTTCCTTTGAGTATCATCTTGCTGGGGATAAAATATGTTCTCTAAACAAGCCATTAAATGTGAGTGGTTATTTACTAACTGTGCTGGTTCAAATAAAAAACTATATAGATAATATATTAATTTAATTTTTTCCCCTATTCGTTTGTTCTCTTGTTTGATGAATGTCTATTATGCTGGTTTTTCAATACTAAAATCCCTTCTTGGTTGTGTTGCTTGTATTGCGTTGATAATATTTCAATTGTTCTATTTTAGTTTAGGTTCCATGCATATAACCTCTTACTGTAAGTCATTATGGTCTCAGTGCTTGGAAAATATTTTTGTTGACAATCTGGATTCACCTGAGTTTTTTAATCTAGTTTCCACCTGAATTCTTTACTTTTTCATCAGAGTTAACATCAACTGGGGTATGTAAAAGGTGAGACTCCTACTGAGGTCCTAGTGAAATATAAAGTATATGCCAACTTTGACATTATTTTTGATGGAAAATTAAGGAATTTCATTGGAAGTATGTGAAGAAAATATAATTCGGATTTTGAAAAAGAAAAAATAGCTGAGGTATACAAATCCAAATGGTCAATAGTTAAAGGGTGTCCAGTGTCCACATGCATTTACCTATTTTTATTGTCGGGCAACTGAGAAAGAATCACATTCATCTTATTCTCAATAATGTGTCAGAATGCTTTTTTTAGATGCATAAAACATGGTATTCTAAATAATCGATGTTATAGTTGCTATCTGTTTTTCTTCCCTAAACTCTTGCAAAGAAAGTTGTTTTTATAGCACTTTGAGTGGTTTTGAAGTTCATATCTATCATGTTCTTATTTTCAGTTCATACGGGCAGAATTTGGAAACTAGCACATTTATTGGGGAAACAACATTTGCCATACTCATTTCCATCTTGGGTCTTGTTCTATTCGCACACTTGATTGGCAATATGCAGGTATTACAAAATTCTTTGTTCTCGGGTTTCATCATTCTATAGTTTATTATTCTTGCTCTCTCTCTCTCTCTCTCTCTCTCTCTCTCTCTCTTAAAAAAAGACATTTTCAGTGTTTGCCTTGTAGGTCTTTACTGCAGACTAATGATTGTTTCCTTCTTCTTCTTCCCAAATTTGTGCCTTGATGGTTTTCAAGGTCACTGAGCTTAATTCCTATTTAAGAACCTTTGATACTATCTCGTCATGATAGCAGTTGACACTTGATAAAAAACTGTGCTGCCTACTTTGGCAGTTAATACTTGACTGTTGACCCTATAATATCTGTTTCTTTTGCCTTTTTTCTCATCTTTCCAATTTTTTTTCTTCATTTGGAACATAAGAAGCTTAGCAAGTACAAATAATTTCTTGAGGTTGTATGTGGCTGATAACTTTTGTGGATAATTTCATACTGCTAGTAAAAGTTTGAATGTTCTGCTACCAATTTCTTCACTAATATTTGAGAAAAAGAGACTTGGTAATATCAGTTAAGCCATGCAGTTTTATGATGCTATGCTTGTTATTTTAAATTGCCTTTGTCTGGTGCTCAAGGGTGAGATTGCCTTTCAGAAATCATGAGCTTTCAATCAAGCTATTAAAGATTTTAGGAATGAGATACAATGCTTGTTATAAAAATGCTGAAGGATAAGCATGCCCCTTAATCTAGATTTGATATGACAATATCTGGGTGATGTTCTTTGTGCTTGTTATCTTATACACTTTTCCCTAATTGTTTAACATTTGTTGCATGAGGTAGACATACCTTCAGTCTCTCACCATAAGACTGGAGGAGTGGAGGCTTAAGCGAAGAGATACTGAAGAATGGATGAGGCATCGCCAACTCCCTGAAGATTTGAAACAACGGGTTCGGCGCTTTGATCAATATAAGTGGCTTGCAACTCGAGGAGTAAATGAAGAATCTATCCTGCTTGGTTTGCCTGCTGATCTCCGGCGAGATATCCAGCGCCACTTATGCTTGGACCTTGTTCTACGCGTATGTTTAACCATGTATTTGATGTTTTTAGAATTGAAAGAACTACATCTGTTTATTTTCTGGTCATATTTTGTTGAATATATGACATCTGGCAACAAGGATGTTCTGACATCACATTTCTGGACTACTTCCAAGCTCTAGTATGGCTATGCAAATAAGCTTATCCTCTGATTTGATTTTGTTGTGTCAGTTCAATTTGAGCCTGGTGTATATGATAAAGGATCAACGTTTTCCTGCTTGGAGTCCTAGAAGTGCTAGTATAATTTTCAGGAATTGCATATTCCATTGTCTTGATGGGTTTATCATGTAGGTAATTTCATTGCCCTCATCAAGTGTAGGGTCTCCAGCCTCATTGAGTCAGTGGATTGAAGCTGATCATGTTTTTTATCATTTATTTTGTCAATGACAACCGTTTATGAACTGAAGGGGGAAAAGTGCCATCTTCATTGAGATTATATATAGAATATGATCCATAAGGATGATTTAAAATGTTCCATGTTGATATGTCTTACTGAGATATGGCAGATGATTTTTTTGTCAATCTTACTTCTCCAATACTAACCTACTTCCTTTTCTCATTTGCAGGTCCCATTCTTCTCACAGATGGATGATCAATTGCTTGATGCAATATGTGAACGGCTAGTTTCTTGTCTGAGCACAGCTGGCACCTATATTGTCCGTGAGGGTGATCCCGTGACAGAAATGCTATTTATTATCAGAGGCAGATTGGAGAGTTCTACTACTAACGGAGGTCGTACTGGTTTCTTTAACTCAATTACTTTGAAACCTGGAGATTTTTGTGGAGAGGAGCTATTAGCATGGGCTCTGCATCCAAAATCCTCTCTCAACTTACCTTCCTCAACTAGGACGGTTAGAACTTTAAATGAAGTCGAAGCTTTTGCATTGAGAGCCGAAGATTTGAAATTTGTTGCAAACCAATTCAGACGTCTCCATAGCAAAAAACTTCAGCATACATTCAGGTATCACTCCCATCATTGGAGAACATGGGCAGCCTGTTTCATACAAGCTGCTTGGCGTCGACACAAAAAAAGGATGATAGAGAATAATCTCACTGCTTCAGAATCCTTTTCTTTGGATGCACAAGATACTAATGGAAAAAGGCAAGACAAGGGGGACCATTTTTCGGAAGGTTTAACTTCTCAACTGAAAGTCACGATACTCGCTTCTAGATTTGCTGCAAACACAAGGAGAGGAGCTCAAAAGATTAAGGATGCTGAGATGCCAAAACTACAGAAACCTGAGGAGCCCGATTTTTCTGCTGCTGATGACTAGTGGTTGAAGTAAGCATTTTCAGCTTTTATATGCCAAAGGCCTAGCCCTTTTCAGATTCTTGTGGAAAGAACTTCCAGATAGCAATGGCATCCGGTATCTCACAGAAATAGCTTCAGATGTGTGTGGAGTAGAAAAGGGGTATTTTTTCCTGTATTCTTCAATACCTGTGTACTTATTATTTTTGGGTAATGCTGTAGTCATTCCAGCTACATCATTCATCAAGGGTTAGAGTGATATATATATACTTATTTTACCTTCTATCTTACTCACTTGAAATTTTAGATGTGCTAAATTAAAAATTTAAACTGATAACCTTATGTTGATTATGATTAATTATCATAATACAAGTGTTTATTCTTAATGATACAACACAGCATTTAACTTGTTTAATCCTTCAAATATTTTTAAATTTATAGGGAAAAAAAAAAAGTATAACTTGGACTCTTCACCAGTCTACCTCTGAACCCGCAATCTAAAAAGAATTATATATGCTTTTTAAGAAATGTGAGTTATTTTTGGAGATAACCCACTTTCTCTTTAATTTTTGATTTGAGATTTCACTTGCATTTATTTAATGTATCATTAGACAATAATTTGTTATTACATGATTTTTACATGTAAAAATTTGAGGAAAAATAATTGTGAATGTGAAAAATCACCAACTTTGTATTTTAATTAATTCATCATGTTTTCAAGAAGAACTCTGTATTTAACTAATTCATTTGATATATTGAAATTACCTATAAAATATTAAATTATGAGTGTATGGAACGTGCATTGTTAACTAGTAATTTAGTTTAGTTATTGTGCATTGTGTATAAACCAGTCGGAATATCTAAAAAAAACAAGTAATTGTGCTGATTATTGCTAACCGGTGTAGAATCAAACATGAAAAAACTTTGATGAAACGTGTTATGCAGGCATGAGTACGAGCTTCGAAGGACATAGGAAGATTAGAAAAACAAGTTTGACCTTTTTTCACTGTGCAAAATCTACAGGGGAATATATAAATTCACTAATAACTTTGTTACTTAAACTTTGCGGTGCTCTTAATTTTTATTTTGACTAATCAAACGTTTCAATTTATAAAGCTATACTTATTAAATACTTTAATTTTTAAATTTATTTTATTGGATACTTCAATTTACAAAATTAAATAAAGTGAACACTTATTAAAAAGTTTAAACTCGTGAAAATTATTATGTCAAAAATCATGTTAACTATATATCAAGTCAATATTTTATAGATAGACGCCAAAAACCCTAAAAAATTATTAACATTTGTGTCGAATGGTGTATAATATTATTAAAATTTACAAGCTAAAAAGTGCATGATAAGTCATTTGCAAGGTTTAGGATGCTACAAGGTTAAAATTGTAAAGTTTATGGGTGAATTTATGTATTCAGCCCAAAATCTATATGTGTTAATGTTTTATGATATTTCTGTAATCTATATTACTTATTCTTTAATTATTTAATGTTAACCAATCAAAATATAAAAAATAAAAAGAAAAGAAGATAATAATATTTATAAAATTTTCATTTTTTAATTTGATTCTAAATCCTTTTAATACTTAATTACATATTCATAAATATTTTCAATTATGTTTTCTATTTAAATTCTTAATTCCATGCAAAAAGGAAAGACTAATTAAGAGATTGAAAGAAAAAAAAAATACCAATGATGATTGGTTATTTTTTATTGATTATTACAATGTATATAATACTATTCATGCAAACAGACTCCAAGTCCAAGCTATGTTAATTGTTCAATTTTTGTTATTTTAATATACAAACCACAATGCAATTAGCGATTACTCCTAAGACGGGAGTTAGTAATAATAAATATAAATTTTAAGCATTTTTTTTAATTGATTGAAGGATGAAATAAAATAATATTGTAAATTATACACTAAAATACAAATCTTCTTTGAGTTAACTAAAATTTACATGGATTTAACATACGAGCACCTCGTATTTTTATAAAAAATAAATAATCAATTAAATCATACATGATCGATAAATTTTGAATAAATGTTAGATATTATTATAAAATTTCTGAAAATCACGTTCACCGTATTAACTTAAAAAAATTGCGAATTCACAGCAAAATAGGCAAAAATTTAAATATAAAATTATTTGTGCATTCAACCAAAAATGTTGCAAATGATCCTCTATATAACTATTTAATTGTAATATATCTATACTTGTTTTGGAAAAAAAAAAAAAAAAAAAAAAACTTTCTTTGAGTCTAACTAAAATTTTACATGGATTTAACATACGAGCCACACTACGTATTTTTATAAAAAAATAATCAATTTAAATCATACATGATCGGATAAATTTTTGAATAAATGTTAGATAATTATTATAAAATTTCTGAAAATCACGTTTCACCGTTAACTATAAAAAAATTGACGAATTCACAGCAAAATAGGCAAAAATTAATCTATAAATTTATATGTGCATTCAACCAAAAAATGTTGCAAATGATTCCTCTATATAAACTTATTTAATTGTAATATATCTACTACTGTGTTTGGAAAAAAAAAAAAAAAAAAAAGACCCTTTTCATTAAATAAATAAATTTTCCATCTCCAACTCAACAGCCACTAAAATCAGATACACTGATATAAAATAGAAAAACCCGAAGTACAGAAGCAAGAAAGAAAGGAGAAGATAATAATGTTGATAACTGCGGGGGAAGCATGTCCTTTCTCTCCCATTTGCTTCGCTCTCTCTTCTCCTACTAATCATAATGTCTCCAGAAAACTCTATCCTAGGCTTAAAGCTTCTGTCTGCAGAGCTACCTTCTCTGTCCAAAGCAAACCCAACTCCACCACCAAGCCATTAGATACTAGCCTTAACTTCAACAGGTATTCTTTTCTCTCTTTTGCTCTTTTTTTTTTTTCGTTTTTTTTTTCGTTTTTCTTGAATTGAATACTCTTTAGAGATTTGATTTGAATTGATTATCTATCTGTCGGTGCTTTACATTTTTTACAGTTTTTTTTTAGTATTGCACTTACAATTTCTCACTAAAGATTTGTTTTTTTTTTTTTTTTTTTTTTTTTTCCATTCATTAGTTTTGTAATTTCCGCTTTTATATCTCCGTCTTTGCCCACTCTTAAAAATTTTTTTTTTTTTTTTTTTTTTTTTCATTCATAGTTTTGTGTTCGCTTTTATAATCTCCGTCTGCCCACCTCTTAAACTTTGTAATTACGTAGTTTTCTGAAATTTCATTCTATATTGAGATATCAATAATAGTCATGGCGTATATGAACTAGAAGTTAAGGTGACGTGACTTTTGCTATTGTTCTTCAAATCAGACAAACATTGCTTAAAATTTATGTTTGGTTTCAAAAATTATGGATTTAGTAGTTTTAGTGATATTTGAATTCTTCAGTACTGTATAAATTTGTATGGTAAATAAAAAAATAAACCCAATTCATTTTTTCTTGTCCACTTCTCAACATTGCTAGAAATAATTTTATTTTGCTTTTGTTGTAATACTCTATTACTCTTTTCAGCTGTGAGGACTCAGTTTTTGATCCATTAGGTATTAATACAGATGTATATTCTGGTCTAAATTCTGCTTGGGAAAGATTACTAGCTTTGTTATCACCAATATCTGAGAGTGCCTCAAGTGCAAAAAGGGATAAGCCTTCAGCTCGAGGAGTTGCAGGTCTGTTTTCCAGTTTTGGTTCTTAAGAATATTGAATTTGCAAATTGTGTAATTAGCTTTTAGCAATTAAGCAGAATTCTTGTTACAATCGCAGCTGCAATTGAGGACAGTTCTATTGATTTTGGGGACTTCTTCAAAGGTCCATTGCCAGGAAAATTTCTCAAGCTTCTGGGATTCTTGGCTTTATCTCGTCTTGGAATATATATACCCCTTGGTGGTGTAAATAGAGACGCTTTCGCTGGAAATTTAGATCAGAATAGCTTGTTGAGCACTTTGGATTCATTTTCTGGTGGAGGCATTGGTAGACTTGGGATATGCTCCCTTGGTATTGTTCCCTTTATCAATGCGCAAATTGTGTTCCAGCTTCTCGCCCAAGTTTACCCCAAGTTGCAGGATCTCCAGAAAAGAGAAGGTGAAGCTGGAAGGAAGAAAGTACTCCAGTATACTCGATATGCTTCAGTTGGGTTTGCTATAGTACAGGTATACTACGCAATATTCTACTGAATAATAGGCTAGCTAACTTGAACCAAGAGTCCTTGAAGAACATATTGAATTCCATAAAGTTTTTGGTTGTTCAGTGCTAGAGTTTTTATGTAAATATATGTGTTCAGACTTCAGAGTAAATGAAAATTTAATGGGAGGCCATGCCAGTGATTTAGATATTTTCATGAGACAAAAGAGAATCAAATTGATTGAGAAAAATAAGTGATGACATGATATAGATGGAAAATCATCAAAACACCCCAGCTTATGCTTCAACTTTTGAGTATAAGCACTCATTATTCATTACGAAAAAGGATTCTCTTAATTACTCAAAGAAGTAACTATCTGAGGAAAAAAGTTTTATGAGAACTGATTTTGACTCTTGAAGTTAAGCAAATAGTTAGATTTCAGATTTATTTGTTGTATGGTTAGCATCACTTATCAGTTTGTGGATGATTTATGCACAGTATACATTATATCAAAATGTTCTTGAATTTCAAATCAATGGTTCATCTCATAGTACATGTTAATGTAATTTGTAAAATTTTTCCTGAGATTTTTTAATATCCTCTTTGTTTTTTCCCCTTCATGACAGGCTATTGGCCAGGTTCTTTACCTTCGTCCCTATGTCAATGACTTTAGCACACAGTGGGTTTTGTCATCTGTAACTTTATTGACACTTGGCTCTGTATTTACGACCTACCTTGGTGAACGAATCTCTGATTTAAAACTTGGAAATGGCACATCTCTTTTGATATTCACGAGCATTATTTCCTATTTGCCGGCATCTTTTGGTAGGACTGCTACGCAAGCATTTCAGGATGGTAACTATGTTGGGCTTGTCACAATCATTCTCTCATTCTTCCTTCTAGTCCTTGGCATTGTGTATGTTCAGGTAATCATTGGTAATTGTAGTGATAAAATATATTTTAGTGGAAGAATGGAAACATTAACAAATGTGAGAAGGGTTTCAGGAAGCAGAGAGAAAGATTCCACTCAACTATGCCTCAAGATACACCAGCAAAAGTGGTGGACTTCAAAAATCTGCTTACCTACCATTTAAGGTTTGTATCCCAGGTTGTTTTATTATTCATTTTCATTCAATTTTTAAATTTTAAAAGTTTGTTGTCCTTACAACTAATATTTCATGGCTCTTGTTGACAATGTGCTGACTTTTAATATTCACATATCTATGAAGACGATCATTATTAATTAATTAATTAAGTACAGATTCACTTAATCCAAATTTATGAATGCTCAATTTTGGTATATTGCTATTGAAAATGTTCCACCGAAGCATATCAACAGCTTGGTTTCATCGTGCATTGTAGGATTTCATTATTTTTTGCGACGGCAGGGAAATTCATATTGCTTGTGGACCATAGTTCAACTTGTTAACAGAATACTGTATAATCATCTTCCTCGAATACTATGCAATTTATGAAACTTAATAGGCTATAAGGGTTGGCTTGTGCACATTTGCTTAAAAGGTTAAATGCATAAGATCTGTTTGAATTGTGAAGTTTACTTTGTGAAGGTAAAGGGAAATGACATGCAATTTTCTTTTTCATTCTTTGTGAGGAACAAGAGGCCAAAGAGTTCAATCTTTACTCTCTAGTTCCAAATTAAATTATCCATCTATTTGGAGACATTATCTTTGAAGCAGCAGATTTGAAATATTATACCTTTGCTTGTAGCCTTGTAGAACTTGTTTACAAAAAATATGATCATTGATATGAAGAGGTGACACTGTCAAATCTGGCAAGTACCCGAATTTGATGTTTGTTCGTGGAAACCAATGACAATTGGAGATGGAAGCATTAATAAGTGAAATGATGATGAAATGCATAGACCTATTTAGAGATCAGTAATGAAAGGTAAAGTGTGTGATAAAGAGAAGCATCTGATTGGCACATGTAATTTCAGTGGATTAAATAATCATGATAATGTTATTTATTGGTCAATGGAGAAAATAAGAAGAGGAAGCATGATGGCTCATGAAGGTTATATTACACCATTATGAAGCAACAAGAAAGCAATTGAGGTACTTCTTAATCTGGTGCCTGGAATGGCAAATGTGGAAATGAAGATTAAAAAAAAAAAAAAGAACTTTGACTTTGGAAGAGCTTCTCTAGGACTTGGATACTGTCTTATAATTAACTTATTGTGGTTGCAACATGTTCTTTGTCAGAGATAAAATTCTATGAAACGCCATTATGTCTTGCCTCTTATGCATGATTCACTTTTTGCGTTCCATATTCATTAAACAAGATTTCCACTGGTGATTAGCTCATAAAGTGCTCTGCTTATTGACATAATTTCTCTGTGCTCAACGTTTTGGAAATATTGTTGTCTATAACCCACTCATATTGCATTCATTTTCTATTCTAGGAAAGATGAAGATTTTGCAGTTACTTGAACAGGTTTGTTTATTCAATTTGTAGACATTATTTTCTGACTTTGTAGCATTTAAGAATGTGAAGCTTACCATATTGTATTTCCTTCTTATTTTATAACCACAAGAAGAATGAACATAACATTCAGCAACTGAAGTTGATTTTTTTTATCATTTTTATCTGCATGTAAAATTCACTTACTATGTTCACCTCCTCAAGCTATGACACCTGTACCTATTCCCAAATTATACACTGCAATATGAAAGCAACAAGTGGAGGAGCCAAAGAAGGATATGAAGAAAGTGATAGCATAATGAGCATACTATTAATTAAGCAATGTATTATTTTGCACGTGCAGCTATCTTCCTTTCACTAAACAATAAAATGCTTCTTGCAGTTGAATGTTTTTTATTGATGTATAATGTTTTATTGTTTGTGTTTTCAGGTAAATAGTTCAGGAGTCATGCCAATCATATTTTCTACATCATCATTGGCTCTTCCTGGCACTCTTGCAAGATTCACTGGAATATCTGCGCTCAAGAATGCTGCAGTGGCTTTGAACCCAGGAGGTAAGTTTTAAGCTGGTTGAGTTTGTTGAAAAATGAAAATCTATCTTTCAGAAACTGCTTTTTTTCTGTAATAAAATTGTTATACTATAGACAGCTGCTTTTTTAATCTCTTACCAAGTTTTATAAATTATATAATGACAAATTTGCTGTATTTCAATAGAATTTTGATAGAAATTTGCTTGTTCATTCTCCCAACCTGGTTGGGTTTAAATAGGCTGAAGTATCCACAAATTTGGGTATAAATTCCTAAATTACAAACCTGGTTGGTTTAAATAGGCTGAAGTATCCCACAAATGGGTATAAATTCCTAAATTACAGCCCTAATTGATGGCCGCATTGTCTCCTAATTAATGGCTGCCAATTACAGCCTTAATTGCCCTAATTGATTGCCTAATTGTCTCCTAAATTTGGACATTTACCAGCCTTAATTAGCTCCCTAATTGATGCCTTAAATTGTCTCCTAATTGATAGTTATTTACCCTAATTGATAGTTATTTACAGCTATCTTACAACAGTATAGTCAATTAAGTACAATAGTATACTAACATCACTAACATCCCCCCTCAAATTGATGCTGGGCGATCAAAAAGCATCAATTTGCCAACGAGAAATTGATGACGCTGTCGTGTCAAAGATTTGGTGAATACATCAGCAATTTGAAGAGTAGTGGAGACATGTGGAAGAGAAATGACACCTGTATCGACGGCCTCTCGAATAAAATGACAATCGACTTCGATATGTTTGGTACGTTCATGAAAAACTGGATTTGTAGCAATTTGTATGGCACTAGTGTTGTCAGCATGCAGAGGAGTAGAATGAGGCTGAGGAAATCCAATTTTAGCAAGTAACCCACAACCAAACAATCTTTGAGCAAGCAGCGAACATAGCTCGATATTCAGACTCAGTAGAAGATTTTGAAACACGGTCTTGTTCCTTACTTTTCCAAGATATCAAAGAATCGCCATGAAACATACACCAACCAGTTATAGAGCGTCGAGTGTCTGGACAACCAGCCCAATCAGCATCACTATAAGCAACAATGCTTACTAGAGAGCTAGTAGGAAAGAATAAACCCCGAGAAGATGTGCCAAGAAGATAGCGAATGATTCGACAAACTGCCACCAGATGTAAGTGATGCGGAGTATGTAACACCCACTGACCAATCCCGGAGAACCAGATGGCGGATGCCACAATCGATGCCGGAGCACCGTCTTATGTCACTTATTAAAGCTAGATCACAAATTAGAAGTGGTTAAATTTTCATAAGGAGGCAAGTTGACGTTTAATTCCAAGGAGTATCAACTGGGGAGGAATTCTTGAAGGCCTGCTAAAGTAATTTCAAATCTTTGTATATTTTTGTTGAATTAAAAAATATTCCAGAACATCATAAAGTGAACTTCCAGCCCTAAGAAAAATATGTAAGTGGGACCAAGAGTCCTTCATATTAAAAGAAGTTTGAAGAATTGTTGAGATGGAGGATGCGTTTGATGGTGTTAGGCCAGTGATAGATAATTATCTACATAAACCAGGAGTAGACAAAACCAGCAGAAAAATCTTATTGAAGGAACAAAGAGAGTCATATTTACTTGCACAAAGGAAACTGAAGTAAGGTAGACCGAAACTTGTCAAACCAGGCAGGTGGAGGCTTGTTTTAGGCCAACAAAGACCTTTTTAACTTACACACATTGGTTGAAGATGAGGAAGTCAAACCAGAGGAAGTGTCATATAATATCTTCTTGTAAGATCACATGAAGAAAAAACATTTTTGGACATCCATTGATGAAGAGGCCAACCCTGAGAGAAGCAGCAAACTGCAATAATAGTAGACAATAGTCATTTTGCAAACTGGAAGCCAAAGGGTCTCCTTCATAGTTCCAAACTCGACTTTTGCTATGCCAAGAGCAACAGTCGAGCTTTTATATCGATCCAAATTCCATCAGAACGAACTTGCGACTGAATTAAACCATTTACATCCAATGCGGCTTAACACATTTGGAGGGCAAGGAAGAATTTCCCATGTATGATTGTCGTGAAGAGCTTGAAATTCGTCCTGCATAACTTTTGCCAACATTCATTCTTGGAGACTTGTGAGTAACAAGATGGAATAGAAATATCAGATAAAGTGGTAGAATATCCAGCAGGATTATTAGAAAAAACCATACCGTCTTGGAGGTCGAGATACTCTAGTAGATCGATGCAGAGTAGATTCAGGAGAATCAGACATAGATGATGGATTAGTCTCGGGAAGAGGCACTGTTGGTTGACGTCTTTCATACGCAAATCCAGGCTTAAATCAATTAGACACAATTAGTAAATCCTCAAAAATTAGAAGAATGGGGGAAGTAGAAGAAGACTCAGCAAGATTAGGAGCAAGATTAGGAAAGAAAATATTGATGCTCAAAGAAAAATAACCATTTGCGAGAAAACACGGTGTGAGTGGGTGGTGTAGAAGTGGATCATTAGGGCCAAACAAAAACCCTGTTGAGAAGAATTATAACCCATAAATGCCACATTTAACTGATTTGAGCTGGTGGTGAAAGTTAGTGACGTTCATGAGAAGGTAGATGTTCATGAGAAGGCAGATGAACAAAACAAACACAACCAAATGTATGTAAATCATGATAATTAGGATATTGATGATACAGACGAAAATATGGGGAGTTAAGATTTAATACCTGAGAAGGCATTCTATTAATTAGATAAGTTACAGTAGATAAGGCTTCAACCCAAACTTAGATGGAACCGAAGATTCAATTAACAAAGTTTGGGTTACATCCAAAAGATGACGATTTTTACGCTCAGCAACTCCATTTTGTTATGGTGTATAAGGACATGAACGTTGTGAGACAATGGCTTTCTCACGAAGAAAATCTTGAAATTCATGAGACATATATTCTCCTCCAAAATCAGATCGTAATACTTTAATACAAGTTGAAAACTAAGTCTCAACATAGGCCAAAAAGGTCTTGAAAATAGAATATACATCAGATTTAGAATGAAGGAAGTATACCTATGTCTATCTACTATAATCATCAATAAATGTCACAAAGGACTTGTATTGAGCATGAGAAATAAGGGGCGTAATGCCCCAGACATCACTACGAATTATATCAAATCATTGGACAGCACGACTACCATTAGAAGGAAAAGGAAGAGTTTTGCTTTTACCAAGTTTACATGTGGAACAATCAAATGGAACCTTAGCAAGGAGTTCTTTATTGCCCAAGAAACTAGAATTTGATAAATGAGACAAAATAACAGGATTAGGATGACCTAGACGTCTATGACATAGTTCACTCTTACTAATAACCGTAGTACAAAATGAAGAGATATGAGGAACGAAAAATAGTAGTGGAAATAGTCTCCAACTTTAGGCCCCTTCGTGATTACTGTCCCCGATGCTTGATCCTGCACAAGACAACCATTACATCCTGCACAAGACAACCATTACGAGAGAAATGGACATCATAATTGTTATCTACTAACTGACCATACGAGAGAAATGGACCATCATAATTGTTAGCACTAGACTGACCAACCGAAAGACGCTTTTAAGTTGAAGCTTTGGAGTATAAAAAATCGTTGAACATGCGTCTAAGATGCTCAATTCTCAGTAAAGTATTGTACTACCAGTTGCAAATTCTGTGGGAGAGGTGGTCTAGTTGAACCATGGACATTTGCGAACGATGGGTAAGGCTGATGGCTAGTTTGCGAACATTGGTAAGCATGCTAGATGTGTTTGTCATATGATTTGAGGCAGCAGAATCAACAAGCCAAAGTTGAGAGGTGAAGGTATTCTTACCTTGTATTCCTAAGACGGAGAAGGCTGAAATAATCATTTGTTGCACCATTTCTGGAGTAAGAATCACAGGTTCAGCAGCTGAAGAGGGAGTTGTAGAAACTGTTGGAGCAGCAAAATGAGTGAGATTATTTGGTGCAATTGGGGCAGCATTCGTTTTTCGGTTTTGAGGCCGTGTTGGACACTCCTTTATGACATGTCCTGACTGTTTGCAATAATTGCAAAACTTCTTTGCACAATTGGCAGCAATATGGCCATAATTTTTGCAGTTATAACATTGAATTCTACTCATGTCCCGACCCTTTCCTCTTCCTTAGGCAGCAAAAGCAACCTTGACAGTATTTCTTGTTGGAGAGAGTTTTGAATGAGAAGACGTTGTTTTTCGCGAAGTAATTCACCAAAACAAATATCTAAAGAAGGTGAAGGAACACGACTCATTAAATTTGAGCGAAGTGTCTCAAATTCAGACCTCAACTTCATTAACGAACTCATTAAATTGAGCCGAAGTTTGTTCTCAAATTCAGACCTTCCAACTTCATTGAAGAATTCGATTCTTTTGCCTTTTTGCTTCATGAATTTTCTTGTGAGTAGTAGTAGATGAGAAGATTCTAAAGGCACTTTAAGGGCGATAAATAGTGTCTGGTAAACCTCAGCCGCATAAATTCTGAAAAAACCAGAATAATATTCCTAATAATATTCCTGAATGGAGAGATTTCCTTGGGAATAATTAGCAATATCACTCTCCAATTGAAAACGTCTTGCAGCATTGTCTTGATGGTAGATCTTTTTTAAGTAATCCCACATGGCTTTTGCAGTTTTAGAAGACCTCAGATTAGAAGCAATAAGAGGGTCAACTGACCCTAGAATCCATGTCATTACTCTTGCATCTCTAACTTTCCAATGAAGCAACTCCTTAGCATCTTTAGGAGCTGGATCACTTCCATCTATATGGCCCAATAGTTCTTTTCCTGTAACAAAGAGCTGAAACTGAAATTCCCATGAAGAGTAATTTTTTCCGGTGAAACAACATGGAAAACTCTTGAAACGAACATGAAAACTCTCAACTGCATTTGAAGTTGCCATCTCAAATAGCACAAGGAGACCAGAAATGCAAAAGTAGCAATAACAAAACTAGGAACTGGTCTATGAGAAGAAGCAGCAAACCCACCAAGATGAAAATCCTACAAGCAGAAAGTTGCAGGATAGAAATATGTCCACCAAAATCTCTTCCAAACGAAGAGAACCTCCAAATAGAAATTCAGAATTTCTATGACCGAGAGTTCATCAAGATATGAACTAAACAAAGAAAGCAGAAACAGAAACTGCAGAATTAGAGACAGCAGAATCTGCACTTTGTTCTTCAAAAAACAAAGCTGAAACTCATAAAAAGCTGGAAACTCATAAAAGAAACAGCTCTAAAATTGCCCTATAACTAGGCTCTGTAGGGAGTGTCCGAGTGGGACAAATTGCTGTAATTTCAATTTAAATTTTGACTAGAAAATTATGCTTGTCATTTCTGCCCAAACCTGAGTTGGGTTTAATAGGCATGATGTGTAGTATCCACAAAATTTGGGTATAAATCCTAAATTACAGCCCTAATTTGATGCCCATTGCTCGTCCTAATTCATGGCTGGCAATTACAACCTTAATTGGCTTCCTAATTGATGCCTAATTTATCTCCTAATTGATGGTTATTTACAGCTATCTTACAACAGTATAGTCATCCCTAATTGATGCCTAAATTGTCTCCTAATTGATAGTTATTTACAGCTATCTTACAACAGTATAGTCAATTAAGTACAATAGTATACTAACATCACTAACATATAAGGGTTTGCTGTGATGACTATCCAGTATCAACTTGGCTCACAGCTAATCTAATGTTCACTGCAGAGTGCTGAGATAAGCCTGTCTTTCTTCTTAGAGTTGTAGAAGGAGTCAAGCACTTTGAGTTTGACTCAGACTCAACTAGTTTTTTAGCTTGTTCTAGATTGTCCATGATTTTGCTAAAATTGAACTTTATCCAGTTTTTAGTCTTTATGCTAGTTTAAAAAAATCAAGCCAGGCATGGGCTGCAGTCCCTTGAAATATCTTGCAAGTAGCTTTGTTATAGATTCTCTTTTACCCCATTGGTCAATGTTTAACCAAAATAGATAGTCCCCTATCCATGTCTGTACTTTAAGTTACTCTCTTTGGCTTTCAGTTTTACACCTTTTTCGAGTACATGCAAACTTTTGAATGGAAGGGCTCCCACTTAGTTGAAATAGGTTCTCTAGAGGAGTCCAAAAGTTTCCTGGTCTAAATCAAATTTCTTTACTGTAATTGGGACTTCAAATTTGAATGTCAAGCTAATGGGGCTATGTGAACTGAGCTGATCAGAATAATTTAAAATTGGCTTGAGCTTGAGCCAAACTTGATTGATGCCACAATGACTCGAGCCTGGACAATAGCATATTCTGCTTGTCTCACCTTGCATCCACCCCCTATTCCTACCTAGTTTGGTGATGGAGACGCTCAAATTGGGGGTGCTGTGGGGTGGGTTGCAATCTTTCCAATCCTGATGTTGTTATTGAATTTGTAACAGCATAACTGAGGATTCAACCACAGAATTGATCTTAATAAACTGATCACAATATATAGGCAGTGGACAATTCTTTTTTTTCTTCCCATTATTCATTATTCATATACTATCCTAATTTAACCAGATAAAAATTTTTGTAGGTTCATTTTATCTCCCCACCAATATCCTATTAATAGCCTTTTTCAACTATTACTACACCTTCCTGCAACTGGACCCTGATGATGTGAGTGAACAGTTGAAACGCCAGGGTGCATCAATTCCACTAGTTCGTCCGGGTAAAAGTACAGCTGCATATCTGAAAACGGTAATTTCCTTCCGTTATCAAGAGATATGAATTATACTTATTTTCCATTGTCAATCCAGGATGTTGAATTAGTAACCTCATACTGGCCTTACGTGGAATATGTACATGTATGTACGTGTGTATTTGCCTGAAGTCCAAATAGATAACTCTAAATTATACAGGGGTCTTAATGGTGCATCAAATGATAAAAATTATGATGTCGAATAGCTTTAAAAAGATCTACCTTTGTAAGCTTTATGGTGCATTAAGGCTTGCTGGTTAGAAGGGGAATTTGCATATGCATGTTTGAATTGAAACTGGTCGTAGTTTTGGTGCAGAGAATTAAGAATAATTGTATTTAGCTGGAGACACGCCTTTCTAGATCAAGCTTTTGTTTTGTAGTTACTGTGGGATAAATTTTTATTTTTTATTTTTTTATTTTTGTCATATCCTGCTTCTAGAGCATAGAAAGGTCCGAAGTAATTAGAGGGCTTTACTGAGTTAAATTTTATTTTATTTTTATGGTGGATGGTATCATGTCCCCCACCCCTCTGTTTTTCCTCTCTTTTCCAAAAAAATTGCAATTGTCGTCAATTCTCCTATTTAAAATTGTAATTGAGGGCTGAATTGTGTCTTCCCTCTTTGCTATTTTAAAATAATGGTGCTCATAGGATGTCTATTGCAGAAATAGTTTCAGCTTTTCAGCGAAAGACATTTATGCTTTTGTTCAGGCAACATTACTGCAAATGTTTGTCCAATTACTCTGTGGAACATTTCATTTCCTTAGATGTCGAAAAAGTTAAAAACCTTTCATTTGTTTCATCTGGACCAAGTCACTGTTGCATATCAACTTGCTCTGCAATTACTTATCTCTTGCGGTTTTAAATAAGCCAGAGTGCTATGTGAACATTTTGATCTTGTATACTTATGGTTCTCTCCTTCAGTTTGTAGCTTTGGTTTCACTTTTCATCATGCAATCCTCTGCAGAAACTACTATGAAGTTTTTTGATAGCGGTTTCAGATTCTGGAATTACTTTATCCATTGTTTGTCTTGCGAAGAATTTTCTACTTAATATGTGCTTCTAATGGTTTGTAATATAGGTTCTCAGCAGAATATCAGTTTTGGGTTCCGGGTTTTTGGCAATACTGGCTGCTGGTCCTGCAGTCATTGAACAAATCACACACTTGACAGCATTTCGAGGATTTGCAGGCACGTCTGTACTCATTCTTGTTGGCTGTGCAACAGATACAGCAAGAAAAGTTCAAGCAGAAATAATATCCCAGAAGTACAAGAACATAGAGTTTTATGACATTGATAAATACAGTTCCTGAAAGATACTCTAATCCTGAGAGGATTGATCCTTTTGAACTGTACAGTACTTCCGGCACAGCATGAAAATTTCTTATCCAAGGTTTCGTGGTGATACCTTCTTTTCCTTTTGTGTTAGGTTTCTGGTGTGTGTATTATACATCTTCTGCTTTGCAAATTGATTTAGGCTGTAACTTGTACATACTGCAGAAGAGCAACCACAGGTTTACTAACTGTAACTTTATCATAATTGCAATTACCATAAGAAGTAAATCTTTTTGTTGTTAAATTAAGAGCCCCTTTCCCCTTATTCTTGATCTATGCTCTATTCTACTGTTAGTCCACTGGTATTGCTTTTTTTTTTCTAATTTTTGATTAATTGTTAACGATTTCATTTGCAAATGTTATTTTACAAGAAGCTCAAGCATCAATAAAAATGTTAAACGGGCAAATGCAAAGTTAAAAACTCCATTCTTCTAGTAGATATTGATGATTTTAGTAATAAAAATTATTTTACATTAACAGAAATGAAAATTTTAAGAGTCAAAAGCTTCATTTTTAAATATAAACATTTAAATAAGAACTGAGCAATTTACAAGCGCAGGATCATTTTTATTTTATATAAAAAGGAAACTCAATAATTAAATTTGGAACTCAAATTTACACTTATTTCAACATAAATATATTACTAGTATTTACTTCTACTTTAATATAATTTAAAATTAATGATCAATAATGTTGTTTTTATATATATAAAAAATTTAAAACAATCAAATCCTTTAATTAAAAATTTTGAATTTTCTATAGTGATACTATCAACATAAGGTACCCATTACCCGAATAATTAGTTGTGATAATGAAAGATGCACATAACATATTAACTTAATTTATTTTTGAAAAAAAAAAGAAAAAGAAAAACTGTCCCATATATATATTATTTCCGACAGAAAAATATTTGACATAAAACATCCACATAAGTGACATAACCAGTTTGAACTTCAAACTAAAATTATCCAAAACATTCTTGCATTATTGTCCTTTATACTACTATTTCAGTCCCTCGTGCTTCTTGAAATCTAGACAAGCAATTGCTCTAACCATCAAGAATTGAATTCAGGGCCTCCAAAATGAGTTGTGGCATGTGGTGCCTGACTTGTTGTGACCCCTAAATGTGACCATTAACCAAACAATAAGGCTTTTTCCTACGTGTCTTGTTGGCAAAAAGCACCTGCAATAAATTTATTTAAGTTCGAGATTGAGTCCGTGACTGTTGAATTTTTAAAAAGTTTCAATTAATCTAATTTGTAATTATTTTATAAAAAATGCTTCTATAAGGAAATTAAAAATTAATCTAAAAATGCATTTTATTATATTACATTATAATTCATTACTGAGTTATAAATGTTGTTAAGGGCTGAGGTTGACTCTTTTACCCATTCTAGGCCCAAGCCCAACAACTCTATTATCCTCTAAATAGGGCATTTTTTATCTTATGGGCCCATCAATTCTAGATGGATTCTTATGCAACCCTAACTTAGCCCAGTTAAATGGCCGAGTGAAATAAACCCTAATAACAATGAAAAGCTTTAAATATTTATGGTCATAATGAAATTTCCAAGTGCAAAATAAAATATGGACTAGATTGAATTGATTTAATTAAAAAGTGGATCCAATAAGATATTCGAAAATTTTTCCATTCTCATTCAAGTTTTTAATATATAAATTAAAAATATTTAAAGACAATAGACGTATTAAAATTTAAATTTCAGATCTCTTACATTACAATACAGATATTCAATTATCAAATTACTAATCATAATATATAAATATAGGAAAATTAGGTCAACTAAAATAATCATCATGTTGGTCTACTTGTTCCTAGAGAAACAAAAATTTCCCAAAAAAACAAAGAGCCAATTATGTGTTTATGTCTTGGCCTATTAGTGAAGCTGGCATTAGATGTTCTTATTCTTATCAACAAAGGAAAATTTTGAAAACATGAGGCAGGTGTTACAAAATTGATGAATGAGGTCAAGTTAGGCCAGCTCAATGACTTGAAAATGGACCCGACATGCAATGTTGTTGTATAAGATTGGATCCAATTTATTATCTAGCGTTTCTAAATAAATTCAAAGTATAATAAAAATGCAAGTATAGAATTTTAAACTTACAAATATAGATCTAATTTTATACTTAATTTTTAACATTCAACACATAAAAGTTTATTTACAATCAATTCTATATTTATCTTAATAAATTTTGATTTCCTTATCTAAAGTCTAAGAATAAATAATAATAATAAATTTTCAATACAGAAAAAAATAATTAAATATTGTAATGGCAGAGAATTGAGATCTCTGCTTCATGCCATTATTATGAAAATATAATATAATGGGCATTATCCTATCCGCACACCTTTTTAAGACAATTTTAAAAAAATATGTAAAAAAGAGCTTAATTATGGAATACTCTTTTAAGGATTTTATTTAATAAAAAAAAAAAATGAGCTTGGCACATCTTTTTATACCCAAAAGAGATCAAGTTTCTTGACCATGAAGTAGCACAAATTGGCTTCTATTTAGAAAAGAGTGCCCCAATTATAAGTAATAGAGGTGCCCTAATTATCACATTATACCCAGTTAATTAATTAGTAATTAAGTGAATAAAAAGAACAGGTAAGCATGGTGGTCTAAAAGCCTGCAAATCTACAAAAAGATGAGCAAGAAAAGGCAATTTATGCTTTGTCATTTACTTGTTCCCATGCCTCTCCTGTAAGACTAATAACTAATTAAAGATCTTACATTCTCTTTATATTATTGTTTAATTAATTAAATATCATATTGTTTATTATTTTAATTATGCCCAAGTGATCCATTATTATTAAATTAATGTATACAAGCCAAGAAGAAAGTCAGTATATGGATTGGTTATAGGAAAAGGAAATATTTAATATTAAAATATATATTGGTAGTGCCCTTTTCCTACTAAAAAATTAATTGAGAATAAAAATAATTAAACTTCAGGTGTCAGCTTCCACTTTTTATTATATATATATAATTAATAAAGGTAGTAGAAGAAGATGAAGAGAGTGTTGCTTCAAAGACAATCTTTTTATTTTTAAGGGTTTAGGTAAAACCAAAATGGGACCTTACATTTTTTTTTTTTTTTTGTCATAAAGTAGAGCTATGGGTTTAGGTAACCCCAAGTGGGACCAACACCAGTTTTGTTCTGCTAAAGCTTATTGTAAAAAATGTAAATTATTTTTTGACAATAGACAAAACCGAATTAGAATTAACATCTAAATTAAATATACTCGAATCGAATAGTCAGTTCGATTAATTTTGATCCAGTTTTACCATTTAGATTTGATTTTAATCTCAACCAATGAATTTCTATCAAATTCAATTCAAACTGAATAAATCGATTAATTGAACACATGACTGAAGTTTGATCAGATCGGCCTCTACTATTTACACATCCAAAGAATTGGAAAAAAAAATATACAAAAGATATTAACCTTTCCTTTGCAATAATTGACACTTTTGAAAAAGAAAAATTGAAGTTGTGGAGAAAATTAAAAGATTGATTAAAAAAAAAAAAAAAAGACAAAAGAAGGGTTTAAGTTACATAGAGGGTGGTGGATGACAATAAGGTGTCTCTATCACCTTTTTAATACAAACACATCTTCTAATATAAAGAAAGAAAGAAAGAAAAGAAAGGAAAGGTTTGGGTCTTCTCTTCTTGTCTTTGCTTTTGGGAAAGGCACTCACACAAAGCATGGAAATTTCTTAGCAAAAGTTTTGCACCGCCCTTAGGGAACCTTTTTAACGGTTGGGGATTTTAGGAAAGTGGTTGGGAGGTCCAATCATAACATTATACCTTTTACCCCCTCACATCACAATATGACTTGCTAATTGCTAAACCCCTTCCCATGTGTGTATTATATTAACCAAAAACTTATTTTGACATTTTATTTAATTTTTTTTTATTGATTTTTATTTGATTAGTGCTCAAATTCATTTGATGTTTGCAAATGTCCATACATGCATGATATTATGTGCCCCTTTACATCAAGCTCAGTTCCACGATGATTTTATTTTTAAGAGCGACGATCTATCGTCTCTGTAAGTCTAAAGTGTGTTAATACTATTTTTTTCTCTTGTATTTATTTGATGTGAGATTTGCTTAATGGTAAGTTAATATCTCAAATTAGTACCTCATCTAGTGCAGATATTACAAAAATGATTGTTAAAGTTAATTTATATCGACTTCACAAATAATATATTAATATTGACTGAGAAATTCATTAATGATTTTAGCATAAAAAAACTCGGTCCATGACTGTAGTGTTGAGTTTTAAATTTAACTATAAAAATTAGTAAATATTGTAGTTAATACATTTTTTGAGTATTTGAGAAGAGGATTTAAATTTGTATCTATTATCAGGTTATAATGCACTTATCACTTATAGGCGTGAAATATTGAACCAATTATATAAAAGTCACAATTATTATAAAAATAAGATATAAAATATCTATTGATTAAATTTTAAAAAAAATTGGTGGAATTTATGGAATCTCCCCACATCGCATCTTGTGCGTGGTCTCAACCGCCACTCTGCCTTTGGGCGATCCGCGGCATCTGCCCCGTATGATTGTTGACCAGGTAAAACGACATCCGAAATACGCGTTTATGGTTTTCCTTTTTCGGCATATAAGGACAATTTTGATCCGAGGATGTGAATTATACATCATTTCGTGTATGAGTTCGATAGGTCCTAATGATGGGGTCCACATTAAAACGAAAATTTGAAAATTGCTTTCTTTATTTAGGGATAAAGTTGTGGTTCATAAAATATAATTCTTTGCTATTTTTCTTTTCATCACTTTGGTAAAACTTCAATTTTTCCAAATTCATCTGATATTATTTTTTTTCATATATATTTTAATCCCCTAAAAAAAATTTTCCCTATATTAGATAAGGGTTCTCCACAATTTACGTCCCCAAAATTATTTTTATATTTTGTTTGTTTTATTTTTAAAAAGCTTTATTGCATAGAGGCGAAATTAAAATTTAAAATTAAGAAAAATAAATCTTTAAACATTTAAATTAAAAATATGAATGTTTTTTTTTAAGTTTATTGAAGCCCAAATAACATTGCGGACTACACGATAAAGGTAATCCTCCTTTTATTTCATCAAATTAGAGAAAACAATTGTGGTCGAGAATACTCAAATTCGAGACTCTCAATCCTCACATAAGTAAGCGGATCAATCAAACCACCACCTGATATGAAAAAATTATGAAAAA